TTCCAGGTGCACCAGGAGAGTTTCAACCAAGTCCTGAAATGCCAGCGCTCCAATACCTTGAGCAAATAGAAGAGAATAGTGTCGCATACAGAGCAGGTCTACGTCCAGGCGATTATATTTTAGAGGTAATGCTATTTTTTAATTGAAATTATTTAACTAGACTACTAAAAGTAACGTTAAGTATTTTAGATAATGTTACATTTCTTTTCCTCATAATATATCATTTATTACGATCTTATTGAGTAGTTGCCAACTTATTTGAAATATTTTAGAAATGTTTTTAATGGTTTTATCCTGCATTATTTCAGGTTAACGGGACTAATGTTGCAACTATGTCTCATGAGGGTGTTGTTGATCTGATTCGACAATCTGGTGACATGCTTGCCATGAAAGTCCTCACGGTAGAACGCCAGATCTTATCGAAAGAGAAGAACAAAAATCTGGAGTTTGGAAGTAAGTGATACGTTTCGAAAGTGGTGACTATTCATATGCTCTAAATGCTTTTTTTCTCTACATGGTGTAAACAGATAGCAGGGCTAACTTAAGCTTAGCTAACTTACATATTTGTTTAAACCTGACGCCTAGGGCCAAGTGTTTGTTACAATTGAATGTTAAAATAAACTTTCATAATAGTAACCTAGTTTCTTAAAATTTATGTGAATTTTCAAATTACTGTAAAAGCAAAGGAAATGTAATACTTTTTAGTAATTATATTATTTTTAAGATGTGGGTTACGAAATTAATATCATTATTTTGTGTTTAGTTGTAACTATTCAATGAGAATAGATGAGTTAATACAATATAATTTCCAATTATTATGTTCTGGTTTTCAACCGATTAGGTCAAATAAATTTGTTGTTCCATATGGTTGGAGTCGTAGGACGGCGAACGGAGGACCTCTTCGATTAAAGTAATACCGTGTCTGAACCATTAAGAAGGAATATTTTGGCTATCCGCTTTTTAAAGTCATTCCTCACAAGTAAAATCTAACAATCTTTGGCCCTAAGTAGGGCCTATTTAACAAATGCATCTGGGCCTCTGAAAATATTTTTCCGCCGTTTCTTAACTAGCATAGCAAATGGCTGCACAAGGCGGTCATTCTTTTTAGGAAGCTTCTGCCATATGGCATTTTCAGCTTTGGGCGTTTTTGGATTGC